CATACGATGACCCACGCCCGTCCCGTTTAATATCCAAAGATAGGGTTATCTACCAAAACAATGGTAGGTTAACAATGTCAAAGGAATAAAAATGTGTAGGAAAGATATTTGAGTAGGTAGATGCTCCTAGTTACTTGATCAATTTGCAAACAACCCTTGCTGTTTTCAAACAAACACAACACATTTCAAAACATTTCCAAAACAACTTTCAAAATATTGAAACATTTTTCAAAAGACAAACATCTTTGTATACATTCTTACGAACGAGAATCATTACAAAGATTGCCTAAACGGTTGCCTCTTTTCAAAATACTTTCAAAACCACACGAAACACCATTTCAAACAATTGGAAAAGCAAAGCAAGTGATCTAAACAAGTAACTAAGAGCCCATGGAAAACCATGGATGAAAAGGGTGCTAGCACCTTCCCTTTTCATAATCTACCCCCCGAACTCAAGAAAACGTCTCAAAGGTCTTTCCTGTGTTTTTTTACCTTTCCTTTTGGATAAAATAAAAGTCAGTGGCGACTCTTGCTAAACCGAAACATTTGCGAACACAAACGTAAAACCTCAAGTCAATTCTCCCACCTTATCACACTAACACTCAAACACACACTAACTAAAAGCTTCACATCGAGTACGATAGATGTGAGAGATGTTAATACTTTCCCCTTGCATAACTGGCTCTCGGGCTCTAATTTGGTTGTGATGACCATCTTATCCATTTATTTATTTTTTTGTGAGTTTTCTCGATCTTTTCCCTTTCCTTTTTGGAATAAATAAAATTTGGTGGTGACTTTATTGGGTTATATTTTTCGAGTCGCTTCACTTATAAGCTTTACTGTCCAGTCACCAACAAAGTTGAAGTCAGTAGAGACATCATTGTGAAAGAATCAAAAGTGTGAGATTGGAGCAAGTTTCAATCCAACTCTAGTGCAACGTTAACACCTGAGTACTTCTGAAGGTATTTTTGACTCTGAAATAGAATTTAGTTCGAAAAGGGATTTTGTTTCTGAAGATAAGTCAGAGTCTGAAGGTGACTCTGAAGCTGAAGGAGACTCTAAAGGCGAGTCTGACTCTGAAGGTGAATCTGATTCTGATCTAGATTTTGATGATGATTCAGACTCTGGTGGTAATCCAACCTCTGACGGTGGTCATGCTTCTGTAGGTGGTCCAAATTCTGAAGGTAATCCGTAATCTGATATTGTTCCAGCATCCTAAGAATATTTTGAACAAGTTTAGAGGCCACAAAGAACCAAACAAATACCAAGAAGATTCACATAGTTTGACATGTTACAAGATACTGAAATAGACTCTGAAGGAGAAGTCATTTAGTGTGCCATGTTGGTAGACTATGAATCAGTTAGTACTGAAGAAGCTTTCAAGAATAAAGTGTGGCTAAAAACCATGAAATAAAAACTTGAGGCTATAGAAAGAAACAAGATTTGGAAGTTGACTGAGCTTCTAAAGAACAAAAAATCCATCAGCGTCAGATGGATTTTCAAGATGAAATTGAAGCTAGAGGGATCAATTGGAAAACACAAAGTAAGGTTATAAGTAAGAGGATTTCTACATAAATTCGAATTAGATTGATTTGAAGTGTTTGTGTATGTAGCTAGACATGAAATAATAAAATTAGTGATTGATATAACGACTAATAGGAATTGGTATCTGATGTATTTAGATGTGAAGTATGAATTTCTGAATGGTCATTTACGAGAGGAAGTTTATGTGTCACAACCACTTGTGAAAAAGAACCAGGAAGAGATGGTGTTTAAGTTTCATAAAGCCTTGTATGGACTGAAACAAACTCATAAAGCATGGAATTTGAAAAATTGATTCATTTTTCAAGCTTCAAGGATTCATAAAATGTGAGATGGCATATGGAGTTTATGTTCAGCATACTTCTGAAAGCAATATGATTCTAGTGTGTCTCTATGTTGATGACATATTTCTAATAGGGAGATGTTCAAATGAGATAGCCAAGTTCAAGAAGGTGATGATGAATGAGTTTGAGATGAGTGATATGGGAAATATGGTATATTTTCTAGGGATGGAGAATTTATACTCTAAAAAGGGTATCATTTTGCATCAGTTGAAATATAAACTTGAGCTTCTGAAGAGATTTGAGCTAACAAATTGCAAGACTGCAATCACACATGCTGAGACGAATCACAAGTTGAATTCTGATATTGAGGATGATGATGTAGATGCTAGAATTTTTAAACAGTTAGTTTGCTTATTGAGATATCTTATAACACCAGACCTTCTATTTTCTACGCAGTTGGAATCGTGAGTAAGTTTATGAACAAGTCAAAGTGGTCACGTTACCAAGCTGATGTCAGGATATTGAGGTACATTAAAGGGATTTTAAAGTATGGAGTGTTGTTCCCTTATGGTGTTAAATCTGACTCGGCCTTGATATGCTATTCATACTCTTATTGATGTGGAGATAGAGTTGACAGAATAAGTACTTTTGAATATTTTTTTCAAGTATTTGTGAGGTCTTATTTCTTGGTGCTCCAAGAAGCAACCAATGGTTACATTGCCAATTTATGAAACTGAGTACATTGCAGATGCTTTGTCCGCGTGTCCAGTTGTTTGACTTATGAACTTATTGCGGGATCTGAAGATTAAGGTAAGTAAGCCTATGAGGTTGATGATTGACAACAAATTAGCTATAAGCCTTGTCAAGAATTCAATACTGCATGGAAAGAGCAAACACATTGACACAATATCATTTTTTGAGGAATCAGGTTCAGAATGGAGCGGTAGAAATTATACATTATAACACTCAGAAGCAACTTGCAGATGTGTTGACTAAAACTGTCAAGACTGAACATTGTATCCATTTGAGGAATGAAATTTGTGTTGTAAATTTTAGTTAGTTGAAATTATTATTAGAAATAATTCATGTTCAAAAAATTATTGTTTCAGAAGTTGTGTTGTTCAAAAATTACATGCTTCATAATCTTGTTCTGAATTTTATTAGTATGGTTAATTTTGCTTACGTAACATTTGAAATTTATGTATTCAAACAATTTTGTGATTAGTCTTTTCATAATACAACAATTAAATTTTTTAATTAAAAATTTATTATAACAATTTTTTCTCTCTCCTCTCCTTTTATCTTTATCTTTAACTTTATGCACCTATAAAAAAAAACACCTCTAATTATGTGAATATGAAAATGAGGATGAACACAAACACTAAAATTTCAACCAACCAGTTGAATTTTGTTCGATCAAAGACACATTTTTCATAAACCATAGCAACCAAAACAACAAGACGGACAATTATAAAAAAACAAAACAAAAAAACTCGTACAATAATAAAATTAGTTTTAATAGAAAGTTACAAGCAAAAGAGAACTGGAATCGAAGCTCTCACCTTTTTAAAAACATTAGACTCCTTATCTATTACCAGCTCCAGATCAACGACAAGAATGCCGAAGCTACAGATCTCTATCACTAAAGGACCGATTCAAATCCAGAAAACAGAAACCTTAATGGGGATAGTAGCCCTAAAAAGTTGGATATGCAAGATAACTATCTCAATATAATGACATCCAATAGTAACCATATATGTGAAACAACCAATAATCGAGCAAGAAACAAGTGTTGGCATCCTCCACTATCTGAGTGGTACAAGTGTAATAGGGACGTAGGAGCCATTATTGCATAGCTACTTGGCTTGTGGATCTTCTTGCTGAGAAGATTAGGGCAAATAAAACACTACAAAAGTAATTGAATGGGATTAACAATATATCTATTTCCTCTTCTACATGTATTGAATGGGTTTAAGCAAAATTTATTGAAAGGGATTAACCAAAGTTAAAAGAAGATTAAGTAAAATTAATTTCCTTCCACTTCTCCACAGTACACCCCTTCTATTTTTGTTCTAATAATAAACATAGCATTAGACATTGAAAGTGTAGTTTTTGATTTTTGACTAACTCATATCAAGAGAGATCGACACTTAAACCGGTAGATATTCTAACGGGATTACTAGTGGAATTGAGGACTAGAGGTTAATTGTGAAACAAGCAACTTTCAAAATCGCTTCATGTAAAATGGCTAAGCATGAGAAAGCATGGTGTGACAATCTTCATGTTTTCATACCATTTGTCTTTTGACGCTTGATTTTCTAACACCAAAAACACTAAATCTTTTACAAATAATATAAAGGCTCATACATAGTAATGTTGTATCATCTAAGACGATGAATGTAATTTTTAAAATAATTGATTTTGCCATCCAAAAAGGGATAATAGCGTAGCTTGTTATCCGTTTGTCGGTTTTTTCTGTATAATTTTGAATATTGATAAAAAATTCTCTTGCTTTCAAAAAAAAATAAATCAAAACACCAATTGTACACCATGGCTTGATCTCCCTTACAACTACATAAGTAAATTTATTCACTAGAATCATTTCACAAAATTAATTGTGCCATCATATGTTAGCAGGTTATCATTGCTCTCATAGCCAACATATTCAGACTGGTGACAGTTAGAAGAATACACATCTTTCCTGCCAAGAACTATTTGATCAGTTTGGAGATTTCTGGTTACAAAGCTCCCATTACAGGAAACATATTTTGCACCATCTCAACATGTCTTTCCAGTTTCCACATTTCAGGAGAAGCAATGCTGCAACCATCATCATTAAATAAAAGTGCAATCATAATTGGCAATAAATAAATAACTGTAAGAGGAAATTGTTTTATTGATTTTCTCAACCTACAAATTATACAGTATTCATAATACTACAATTTTTTTACATGAATGAAGTAAGAGTTGTCTGAAAAATGATATGCTAGTACATATTGTTGTCTTACGCCTTATCAACATCAACTTCAGAGAATTTCGTATACTGAAAGTTTTATTTTCCTCTGGTCTCGCAAGCAAAATTACAGAAATCCAATTGTGGTATTTGCATGTTTAACAATGCAACCATGAAAGAAGACTACTAAAATGAGGACCAACGCCGGTTGAATGACAATTTCAACCACTTCCTTGCCTAGCGGCTCCAGTACTTGGCGTTGTCATAAAAGATTCACCACAACCACATTGGCCTTTGGAGTTTGGATTAATGAATACGAATTCAGATCTGCCAGGAAATAATATTTTAAACAAATCCAGTGGAAAAAAAGAAAAAAAAGAGGCGAGTAGCAGGATCATGCACATCACATGTAACCACAGACAAATATTCATGCCACATATTCATCAACATCTTCCCTCTTTTGCAAGGGCGGTCTAAGCCTTTTTGTACAAGGGCTATATGCTAAAATGCAGCCTAAAACCAAAACATGATTCCCTGCCGTCAGGGAACCACGCATTCACGCTGTCAGTGCGATATAGGTCATTAGATTGAAATCTAATGGTACAGATTTAATATCCAGTAAATATATAAAAGTTATTTTGACAGATCAATGGTTGAGTTGAGATTTCCGTGCAGTTACTAATTGACTTCAGGGAATCCATTTCCCTTTAAACCTCTGAGTCTGAAGGATTCATCTCGAGATCAGATCAAGTAGTAACTAATGCAAATTAGTGCCTTTCGTGCTAAGTTTTCTCAGGAATCGAAATTTCATTTTGTGAATGACTAACCCTCACAAAATTGGGATTGCAACAAAATAACCGGCAATTTCATGAGTTTTTCATCAAAAGCTTCCCTCTTAGTAATGCATATTCTCATTCCCAAAAGTACAAATACATTCATACATCTTCAGCATAAAGGAGGCAGAAAACATTGCAGTATCAAGCTAATCTACAATGCCCAAAACTCTCCATATTTCAAAATAAAAGCGTGGAGGTTTCCCATTGCACAACAGATCTAACTCACAAACACTAACTAATAGTAAGTTATAAAAACAAAAGCACAAGCTATTCACAATTTGGATGTGGAAGGGAAGACGAGATGACAAAATTAAACTGCAGCAAAATAGGGGAGCACGACCAATTGCAAATTTGCAACAAATTGTGATTAACATTCTAAGTCCATATCAAAATCAAAATATGAATACCAATAAAAGCTAACCAAACTGGAGGATGGATTCATCCCAGAGCAACAGACCCAACAATTTTACCAAAACACGAATCATGAAGGCGGAAGCTTAAAATCTGATCGGATGAGCTTCTTTTGGGTTCATATCATCAGTTTATAATCAAAATTACAAAAGTACATCAAGTAGAACTAAACAAAAAACTTACCTGAGTTTATCATCAACAAAATCCATCTTGGTTCCAATAACATGCATAAGAGCTTTAGGATCAATCAATATCTTAACACCCTTATCCTCAACCAACTCATCAAATTTCCCTTTTTCATCTGTCAAATCAAAACACCACCAAATCCAAATCAACAAACTTCAAACCACATTCCATTTCATCCTTTCAAATATTTCACTAACAAAATCACCTATTCATATACCTAATCAAACAAACACATCAAAAAATTTCTAACAACCAAAAAACACAGAATCAACCGTTCACATGCAAATAATCACAAGAATCTATAAATAATTATTAACACAATTTTGAAAGGGGTGCAAATAGCATACCTGCATAATTTAGGGTGTACGATAAGCCGTTGCAACCACGAGCCTTGACGCCGAGCTTTAAGAATGGTCTCTGACGCTGCTGCAGCAAGACGCGTATTCTAGAGGCGGCGGCGTCGGTTAAGGAAACGGCTTGGCGCCGCACCGCCGTCCCGATCTTCTCTGCCGCCATTGCCATTGCCTTGGAACCCATTTGTCATTAATTACGAAATTGCCCGAGATGGAAATGATGATAATTTATACATGTAAGGATAATTTAGTCATTTGAAGAGATAAAAGTATATCCGTCATTCGGTTTTCTTTATCGGGTATGTGGCCTCCACGGATTCGAAGAAGTGCAATAGCCAATCAAAACACGTTATGTTGTTTCTCCAAACAAACACTTTTCAACTAATATTCAAACAACTCTTCTTTAATCATGCTTAATTAGCTTAAATTTATGGATAAATTCGACTAATTGCATTAACCATTATTATTTCTTCATATTTATGAGTTATCCAATTTATCTTGGTATTTTATCAACATCATAATAATACCTCTCAAATTTTTTGTGCAGAAATGAAAAGTCACTTTACATTTATCAGGTGAATTATGTATTTCTCTTTTAATTCGATACATTTAAAAGGAATTTAAGAGACAAGAGACACATTCCTTAAATTATTTATGCTTCATTCCATGCATTTTAGCTCGGCAGAAGAAGAGACAATCGAGAAAAATTAAAGTTGCTTCATTCAACATTGAAGCATTCTAGGTATTATTCCTCCGTCTTCCTTTCATGTGCAATCAAACTAATGTGTTCTCCATAAAGACATTTGAATTTTGCGGCATATTTTGTATGAGTGGCATTATGTTTCATCGTGTTTTCATTTGTATGTTGTATGCATTTTCATGGTGTTCTGAATGATGCATCAAATGATCTTATGTAGAATCTTGATGTTGTCTGTTTGTTTACCTCAACTTTGATGACTACAACTTAAATGTGTTTTTATGGTGTTTTGGATGGTGCATCAAATGATTTTATGTAGAATTAGTTTTTCATTTTGAATATAATTGTATTTTCGTCTTGCTTGAAGAATTATTACCACTACGGATTTGTAAACCTCGTATTAGTAAAGTTGTTCTACTTTTGTTGTTGTTGCAGTTTAACACAAATTGCTAATGGCGCATTCAATTAAAACTATTAGGGATATCAGTTGTAACACTCAAAGTTTAGAATTATGATGCTTATGTGTTTACTTATGAATATTAGTGATTTATTGTATTTATTCATGAAATATTTGTGATTTGTTGTGGTGATTAAATTATTGGTGAGACTATAAGTTCTTAAGTTAGAATATTTTATAATAATTAAATAATAGATTATGTGGTTTATTAATAAAATAATAAGGAAAATAAATAATTAGAAATGTAGATATTTAAGGGGGAATGAGGTAATTGCATGAGAATAAGTGAGGGCATATGAGGAAAAGCATAATAAGGGTATAGTAATATTAGATAAAAAAAGGGGAAAAATAGGAAAACGTGAGATCGTTTTGTTGGTACATGAAATTTGGAAGAAAATATGATAGGGCAAGGAGAAAGCTAAGAGAGAAAATTCATCCATAGAGTATGAGAAGAAGCAATTCCTAGAGCAATTCTAAGGTAAGGGTGAGTAATAGTTGTCAATTATGAATGATATGGGGGAATGGTAAATATAAGATTTTGATTCTTGTTGGTTGTTGTTGATTATAATGATTATTGATTCAATTGATGAAAATCATTAATATTGATGTTGTATGATTATGTTGTGTTGCATTGTTGATGATAATGATTCGGTTGTATCTTATTTAGGGGATCATGTGTGTCATACCCTAATTTTTACTCTTAATATCTCACTTATCATATCATTGCATTTCATCAAGATCACAAACATGGTAACCTCCTAACTCTCTTGTCTTTGGGTTTGTTGTGTGGGAGATCATCAAGCACCCATTGTGTTTTCTTATATATTTGTGTTTACTTTCTTTTGTGCCTTACTAAACCTATTCAAAATATAAAAAAATATGCTTTGTTTCCTTTTCTTATTTTTGCAAGGAAGGGTTTTTTCATCAAGAGATCAAGTTGGGTTTCTAAATTAGGGGTTTTTGATCCCTTAAGTAAAAGTCAAGGTCAACAAGTGGTAAATAAGGCTTATTCTTCAAGGAATGACCTATAATCTTATATCACATCATGTCCAGCTTTATTCAATATCAATTGATCAAAAGAAGTTCAAGTTTGAGGGATTTCTTCAAGGTGGTTTCAAGTTAGGGTTCATATGTTTATTTTCATGTCCTTTTCACTCAAATTTCTCAAGAAATCCTCAAGATATTTCAAGGCCCAATCAAGCTTCAATCATGTGGTATTAAAATAATCATCATTGTGCCTTGGAATCCAAGAAAAGGTAAAAAATCACAAGTTGATACAAGGTTGGATGCCATGAATTCAAGTATGGCATGTCATTTGCTCCAAACCCATAACTTTCTCATTTCTCAATATTTTTGGGAGATTATTTGAGCCAAATATCCCTTTTGATATCCTCTATAACTTTGCTTCAGAGGTCAAACATCAATTTAGGCTCTAAGTCCATCAAATGTTGGAGGTCACATATGCACAAAACTAGGTCATGACCTGTTTGACCTAATGCCAGGCCTATTTTTCAATGCCATAACCCCAACTTTTAACTCATATCATTTTCAAATCAAGCATCCTTTTGAATTGGTTCTTTTTGCATTATGTTCTACTCTATGAAAGTATCATTTGGCAAAAAGAAAATCAAGAAATGCACAAGTAGATTATATTTGGACTAAGCTTGAATATGGTGACTCAACTATGCATCTTTGGTACATGACCCGTAGTTAGAAATAACCTAAAACTCATCTTGGGGACCACAACACATGTGAAAACTTGTTTGTTTTTTGTAAACACATTCCACTAAGTGAAAAACGACCTTTATTCATGCTCAAATCATGCTTTTCATCACTCAATTTCACATGGTTTGGATGAGAAAATTCTAGAATGAGTTTACACGTTTGGGATCTGAAATTGGCATGTATGATGAGCTCACTCACTCTCCTATAAATAGAGCATCATTTGCCTTCATTTTCAAGCTTAAATAGTAAAAAAAAATCAGCTTCTCTCAAGCCCGATACCTCTCAAAAACCAGAAAACCTAAACTCATTTTCTTATCATTTTAACTTTAATTCTCCACCTAGAATCCTTCATCGGCATCATCTGAAGATTCTTGAAGCATTACAAAATTTCAACAACACATCTAAATCTAAGTACAAACTCCATTTCACCATTTTCAGACCTTTGAAGCTCAATTCGAACAGGTAGTTACGAGTTTCATTTTCACTTAAACAACTTATCACACTCTTCGTCTTGATCTTTTAATGTTAAGCCCTCACCTAGCTGTGATTTATTCATTGTATTAGTCATTTAATTTTACTTTGAAACTTGTTAGGGTTTTTACGTTTTTATGCAAATTCTCTTTGTTCAGATCAAATAAATTGATCTGAAGCAAAGAGACATGGACGATGATGTTATGTGAAGCTGAAACATGATTTGTTTCAGCTTAAATTCACAAGTTCATGGTTCTGCAAAATTGGATGGCTAGAGGTTGAAGACGAGTTGTTTGGCGCGTTACCGTGGGAACAATTTGAATCCAACCAATGACAATGCGCCACCTTGCTAGTAGTTGGATCATTTTATTTTTTAAATTCTATTTAATTCCTTTTTCTTCCAAAATTCATTAAAAATTGCTCTTAAATGATTTTCCATTCCTTTTTTTTTTCATAAATCCACAAAAATATTTTCTACTTCATATGTTTTTTTTCCAGATTTTTAAAATGATTTATAGCATTTTTTGATATTTTATTTTTTAATTAACTTTAAACATTTATTTCTTCATAATTTTGAAATTTTTGGATCCAAAATTTTGAGATCTTAATCTTTGGAGTTTTTCTGACTTTATCAAATTTTTGTGGCTTTTTAGTTGATGTTTTGATACATCTTTTGTATTTTCTCTTTTATTTCCATTTTAAACCATTTAAAAGTCATTTTAAATTTGGTTTAAATATTAATTTGATTGTTCTTGATAATTGGTACTTCTGACTTTTTGTTGACTTTGTCAATTATGGTCGATTGGAGCTCATCTTGTCTCAAGGTATCATGAAGAAGATGAATTGAAGTAATGATCCAATCCCCTTGCCTTTGTGCTTGCTCACCTTTCTTCTTCTTCTCTTTCCTTTTGCTTTGTTTTAATCATGGTGTTGTGTTGTTTTCGGAGGATGACTTTGTATCATTTCTCTAACATGCACTATACCTACATTGCTATTGTCCGATCTCAATTAGTTGTGACTTCTACATAAGTCCAATTACGATTGCTTAACATAGCGCTAAATTATCATGAATCGGTTGATTAACTATTAACACTAATATTAACTCCATATTATTATGCTAACTTTACTTTTTCGCACTTTTACGTTAATGTCATTTAATTTCTCACCCTTTACTTTTGTGCAATTTAATTTCTGGTCATTTATTATTTCATGTCATTTTTTTTAATCTTTTTGCTTTATTTTTGTTTACTTCCCTTCAAAGGCTTAAGGCATTAATAAATACAAAACCCTAAAAAACTTGTAATGTGCTCTTGAGGACTTTTGACACTATTTATGGAATTTTGGACTTTGGACTTGAGACCATGGTTAATTTCCCTTATCTTGAAGTTCATTTGATACTTTGGTTCATCTGAGGCATTAATTTCATCGGATACTTTGTGGTAGCTGAGAGTTAGAATCATTTGGACCTTTTGTTTTATCTGAGACTTGGCCATATTTTGAGATTTTGTGACCTTTATCTGGACTTTGTGGTATTCATCTACTCATTGTGCTTGATCAACTTGTGGCTTAAATTCAAAGGGAAAGAAATTTTGGTTTTGACCAATGTCAAATGCTTGTTCTTCTTATGGTTAGTTCACTTGCACACACAAAGGATTTCTCTTAGGCTACCTTACAACAAGACCTTTTATTTCTTGTCATTTACTTTATGTTTTAGGATAGCCTCTTCATCTCCTACCCTTCTTTAATTTTCAAAATCTTCTCCCTATTTCAAAACTTATTATTTTCAAACTTCACATCTTTTCTTAAACAAACCTTGACTTTGTCAAGTGATCCA